TAGTAAGATAAAGTAACAAGCGAATACACGGCATATTTATGTATGTGTGTCTGTTAAAAGAAACTATCACACAGTTTACATGTTATACACGATACACAATCACACAACAACATTAATAACAATGAGAACATGTTAAGCGTGTACATGTTAGCCCGAACTATTTCTGTCACTGTACAAGCTAGGCTTACACACAGACACTCATATATATGTGTATATATTTCAACAAAGTAAGAAAGGAGAAATTTTTCTCTTTAATTTCTGGTACAATTATCAAAGAGTACATATATATATGTGTATAACACCAAAACAAGGTAGATAACAGGTGGTCAGTCATAGAAATTCACTAATTATTATTATTATTATTATTATTATTATTATTATTATTATTTTAATATTTTGTTATTAATGGCAGAAAAGAAGTCGAATTAGGAATAATATTTTTTCCTATCCCCTACAACTAGATTTTTTTCATAAAAAAAAACTAAAAATAAAATTGAAATATTAAATTGTAAACTTTATTTTTTGTTTGAATGAAACGAAACAGGGTGAAAAAGCTTTATTTTGAAAAATTCTGCTGTTATGTTAATTCTGTTGTGTTAAAATTCATCACTTTGTGTCGAGTTCAAACATGTTGGGAGTAAAGCAGTTGTCACTAGTGGAGTTTAGTGATTATTATTAGGTTAGATCGCGGATTGACCAGATTTAGAATTGTACCACTAGACACCGATCCAGTGATGTGAACTGTGTGCTAAGGAATATCAGGGTCTTGGGGTTCAGTTCCTAGCAAGCTTATGGGTGCCAACTTACCATTGAGGAGTTGATACTAGAATAAATAGATGTCCTAGCTTCTCACCACTTTCACTGGTACCACTAGTGACAATCAATCTTTGACGAATTAAAACCTATCAATCAAACTAATTTACACAAAAACCGCTGGGAGAAGGCTAGGAGTGGCCAGACCAAAACATGCCACAAATCCATGAAGTCACTGGTAAATGGACTGAGCCATGTGGGCACGTATACGCAACCTCGTCGGGATCCACAAGATGATAGTAACCAATCGTTAGAGACCTTGAACGACATGGCTCAAAAACGTTTGCAATGGCGCAGGTGCGTCCGCCCTTTGTGCTCTAACAAATACTAATCTTCTGAAATCCTCATGACCGCTTTTCCTCTTTGTTAACTGATTCCTCTGAGGTATACATCTCGAATGATATCTTCGATGACTAATCCTTTTGATTACCGGTAATACTCTTACTGCCTCTACTACTATGAGATTTGAATTGATGATTCTATCTCTGCGTGCTAACATGCTATGGCAACTTGAACTGGTGTACGTACCTACGAAGTTCTGAGTTGTAGCTGACTGACTGACTTCGGTAGTAACCAGTCGTACAACATTCATGACTCTTCCAGGGAGACTGAAGTAATAACTTTCAAATCTTACACTATATTACTTTCAGTTTAGCGAATTAGAATTTTGCAGTTAATTTATTCAATGTTAGTCAGTTTGAAGATAAATGAAATCGAATATGAAACACCATATACCTGTAGACAACTACCACACACATATATGCACATTTGAATTCACCAAATTACAACAGTTACAATCTATTATTAGAATTCCACGAATTTTTTTATATCGGAGCCAGCGGTGAAAGTTTAAACAGTATGTCAAGAATTTTCTGCCAAACAGTCATTGAATAAGTGTTTGGTAATATAGGTATAAGCACAAATTAATCAAAAGGAAACTGAAAGTTAAAATATGATCAACATACTTGATTTACAAGTCAGTTTCTTGCAGCTCCAAATGCTGTTTAAGGATGTGGAGAAAGGAAACCAGAGAGGGAGAGCGAGAAACGGAAAGGGGAAAAGATAAAAAAAAACAGGCAAATCAAGTAAATAACAAGAAACTGTTACTTTAAAACAACAAGTTCCAAAAATTCTCTGCCTTTGAATGACTGCCGATACCGTTTCCAATAGTAACAGTTAATAACAAATTACTAATTATTGATTTAAGTGGCTATCAGTAGTAGGATGAGACTTTCTGTGTACAACAATTTTATTATTCAATCCAACTATCCATTGGTCTATGATTTGGTCTATGACAGATATTTTCATATTCATTAATCATAAAGTAGCAAAACGTAATGTAAAAATCCAATCCCCTTAGTATTGATCTGATTATATCGATCAAGGTGCGATGTTCCGATTAACTCCAATGGCTTTGTATCGTGTAAATTATACTTTGATATAAGGTGAATGAAACTGTTGGACAGAAATCTATGTTTCATAACTTTAAAAAGGAGATGTTCATCGTCTTTATGAGAATGTTAATGTTCAGACGGTCGAACAGCATAAAATAATGTTACGGCTGATGTTTGTCTGAAACCGCTTGAGTGATGAACAAACTTTGCACATCAATCTGATTATAGGTTAATACTTGTAATATTTTCATAATTCATTACATACACTTCAACGATTAAGTGCCAAAGTGTTTTTATTTACTGCAATTAATATGCATCATCGTTCAGTTTGTGATGTTTACGTCAACCAAAAAACGAATGGAAATCAATTGCTTATTTTTTTAAGTGTTTAGCTTTAACACTACTTTATAAAACATAAGTAGTTAACTGTGTAATAGTAAAAACTTACTTGAACACTTGTAGCAACTGGATCAATCAGTATAGTTGGAATAATTTCTGTTTGTGGGTGAATAATTTGACAATTAGGCTTGACTATCTCTTCAGCCTGTTAGAAGAATATATGGACAGATAAGATATATTAGTCTGTTGTAAAAAAAGCTTGATAAGTTAGCATGAAATAATTTTTGGGGCTATCAAATGACTACATTTTACGATATCAAGTGTTTAGCTAAATATTGTCTAAAATATAGTCAAACATTATGACAAAGACATATGAAAAGGCATATTATACAAACTATTATTATTAGATGATTCAAGGAAACAACGTAGAACTCCATTCGTTGATATCCAATTACCACAGAGCTAACCAAAAAGACACTGTGTCAGAAATAAACATGTATTTTTGTGTACTTTTATTAATGAAAGGTCAGTGAACCTGACCATTGCCTATATCGTTTCTAATAGTATTATTTCAAGCTTAATTACTATTTAAAGTATCGAGATGCACACTTTTAAACTTGGAATTTTCAATGGTCCTAATGCTGGCTATGAAACTATCTGTACCTAATGATCTTAAATTTAGATTTATGATAAATGTTAAATTTCTCGAACTATGTTTTAATGTCAGTATTGTCAAACTGATTGAGCATGAGAAGACAGAGCAAAAGAACGGATGAAGATACAAGTCTGCGAATTTCTAATTTATTTACAAGTTTTCCGTACAGTAGAAAGGCAAGAAATCTCTAAGTTTGCTGATGTATATCGTTACACTAACAAACGCAGGAGGTGGATATTGACAACTTGAAAATAAGCGCTTTGTATCCATAAAGCTATTTATTTAAACAGTGCAATCTTTCAATAACATAAATTTACCTACTCACTTTACTTTACATAGTGTAACTGACGGAAGTGAGTATCATCACTATATTTTGAAATGCTTTTATATGACCGTGAGTTCATACCTACTGAAGGTGAAGCCTTTCTCACTGTCTTCTAGCTTTTGGGTTAGCATAGCATTCAGCTTATACTTACTGTGTTTCTCAAGGCTCTAGTCAACAATTCAGGGCATGTCGATATACGCCAGATAACCGTTAGTTTGATGGGAAATGTTAATTCATGAATAAGGAAATAATGTCAAGTTTGCGTAAGAACTAGGACACCTGATAGCTGAGGCAAGCTTACAAGACGAATACAGATGCTGTATCTAATAGGTACCACAAATTTTTACAGCTCATTTGTGACAGTGTAAGCAAGAAGTATGTTGTAAGTGAAGTAATCTGTAAAGGTGACTGAACTTCAATCAACCTACGATGATGAGCAGGATTTCTTTAGGAACAGTTTGGTTACCCTGATGTCTGATCCAACTGACAAGGCAAAGGTTCTCAAAAAACACCAACTTTCTAAGTAATATCAATCCTCAAGCCAAGAGGACCTATCTCTAGGTTGTTTTAAGGAAAGTGGGGAAACTTTAGTTAAAGAATCGATTGGGCCGTTTGGCTAGGTTTGAGAAATAGGGAATATTATGTTCACACCTGTGTTCCATATCTATTAGAAACATATCAGAAGCCGGAAAATGTTGTGAAATATGTTGAAATAATTCAGAAATTTATTACTGACTTTCACATAAACTATAAATTTTATAACTTTGCATCTCACCTGTAACTGTACAAATCATCTTTTCTTTCTACAAGTAAACCAACCACACATTAAATTTTCACAAATCATCATATAAGTCTAGAAGTCAACCATGAAGTAAGCCATCAACTTCAGTGTTTCACTATTAAGATAGGAGATATCAACTAATTCTTGTTTCCATGAAATAAAGGATAACTGAATAGTGGCCAACGTTGGAATCCAAGACGCCTGCCTATTTCTTATTATGATAATTTTATTATTGCAATCCACTTAGAATCCAGGCATCCGAATGGTGACTGATCAACTTCGATGTTGAACTTTAAACGGGAAAAATACATATCCCTATAAATATGTTCACATGATTCAAAAATCATGTCTTCATTACTATTCCATTTTTCTACTAAATTCTAACATAAACTTTGTGTATTTGCTTATTAGTTACAATAAATACACATAAATTTGATGACATTCTATTATTTTTACTACTAATATACATGAAAATAGATTCAAATGGGATGAAAATCAGAAATGCATACATAGTTGATTGATTGATTCAATAATTAACTTACAAATATACTCATATGATCGGGATTGATTTCAATAGGACAAACAAGTTCAGTATTAGCATCTTCATCGCCTGTACCACCTGTAACCAGGTCATGATAGCTGAATTTGTGTTCACGATTTGAATGGAAAATACTTTTCTTTTTGGTAAACTATTTATTGTTTATTAAAAGTAATATATGAAATAAGAAAAGTTAAGTGAGTAAATAGTTAAACAAGGACATGCACAGTGAGAAACAAGAAAGCCTTATAGACAGTTGTTTTGTGTTGAACTCCTCATCAGAGCGCATCCTTGACCGCGTAATCAGGCTCTGAATGTAAGGTATCGGTTTTACACGTGAACACTGAACCTCTTAAAACTAAATGACCTACAATAGAATGGTGTGAACGATTGACTTCAATCATATGTGCTATTAAGTCAGAAGAGACGATCATTTAGTTTTGACTTAGTTCTTTACGTATCATTTAACTTAACTTTCATCATGGTTAAAATTCACAGGTTACCACAACTTACTAATTTTTTCGAAATTCATACTCAAAGCTAATTATCACCCCATCGGACAATCATAGTAACCCGAATCCAATATCTTTCAATTTAATTTGTATATTTCATAGACATTTATGATAAATTGATTGTCTTAGAGAAAGTTCATAAAGTATACATATTAATTATCCTATAGAGCTTGAAAGACTCCTAATTAAGCCAGCAACAACACAAAAAAGCTTTTCCAACTACGGAGAAAGTTGAGTAGTTGAAACCTTCCATATGATGCTCATTGCTATTGCCCTCAACAGAAATGACATCCTTACTATTCATCTTCTGACTTGGACCATTTATTCAAGCTATACTATACTTGATTCTAATCACAAATGGAATTTCTGTTATATTTACAAATTCCACTCTATCCTTTTCACGTTAAAAAAGGTCACATTTTTCACAGCCATTTACGCACACAAATGCAGAAGCATATTTCATACGAATCACCTTGACACGACATCATCAATAGTGTAACGTGCAAAGTTCTACGTTGCTATTGATGATGACATTGAGTTGATTAGAGTTGTTTCTTTTTGTTTGTAGTAAATATTTTTCTGATTGTTCTTTTGCATGATTTAGATGTGGGATAAATTTAATTGGTGTATTAATTCGTCGAAGTAGTGGCTTACACTGGATCATGACACTTCGGAAAATGTTTGTTTTAACTAAAATAAAGCAGTTTTATGATTAACAATTCCCCATGTGCTCAATGTATTTGGAATTATCAAGTCAAATCGTAATAATGATAACAATATTAGATGAATGGTCCTAATGAGTAGAAAACTGAATATTTGACATTTCACAGTTTAATGCAAATTGCCTCGTTTGCGGGAGAATAAAATGTTCAACTAAACTGAACAGTGGAGTAAATCAGAAAATGCTAAATATCTTAATTCCGATCAAAAGTATTTAACTAAGATATACTAATAGATGAAAAGCTCTTAATTTCAATGTTAAACAAGAGAGCAATTTTTTCTACTCAAAATAACTCAGTTCTATCATCTCGAACTGTAACATTGAATGAGATAAGCTCAAAGATACTGGGATAAATTTTCATGAGATTCAAGATATAACTCCATGCTATAGCACCTCATTTATACTTGAGTTCGGTATGCGTTTCATTTGTAAAGGTCCTTAAATTGACTTATTAAGCAAATCGTGTCATTGAATCATTAGAAATGTATCTGTAATTTATTATTATTATTATTACTCTATTATCATGTTTGTATGAGCATGTGCAACTGACCAACAGTTACCAGCCTACATCTTCTATCTTCTATTTTTATTACTATGGGATTTGATTTGACATCTGCGTCTTTGTGCTAATGTGGTATGGCAACATGAACTTATGTACATACGTACGTAGTTCTACGTTGCAACTGACTGACCAGCCTACATAAATAATCCTCTTACTAGTTAGTTGAATTGCTGCTGAAATCGTTCAATGAGTTGTTCACTTTTTCATACATATATATATATATATATGTGCTTCTTAAGTCCTATTAATTCATTCACCTGCATTTTCATACTCTTTGACTTTCACTTTGTATAGTTGTGGCTATGTGATCATCTGCTTAGTATGATATAATTAAAACTGTAGTCAACAGTGTGTATTGTCTTCTGAAATTTATAGGCCTTTGTGAAGTGGTATCTAATAACAGTTATCAGGATGAATGGTATGTAAATCATAAAACTTATCTTGAAGATAATTCACCTCAAGTTAAGTATGACAACTTCTCTCTATTTTTAACACCAGTCATTTAACAAAATAAAATCTATAATAAAACAGAAAACTTCCAACTATGATAACACTTAATCAAGTGATTATGTAAAATTTTTAAATTTAATTATTAAGACAGTTAATCACTTACTTTGATTTTAGAATGTATTGTCAATGGATAATGTTTACTATGATTATTATTATTGCTATTATTATTATTATTATTATTATTGACTTCATGATGTTGTTTACGTTCCCATATATCCAATCCAACTAGTTCAATGAATTTATTTGTTAAATGTCGTCGAACAAGTGATTTTACAGGGGAAATTTGTAAAATATCAGCTAATAGATCTGGTGTAAAACGATCTTCTAGAATCTTTTAAAATAAAATAAGAAATTGGTTATGAATTGGTTATGAATAAAAACTAATCTAATGATGTAAATGTTGAATAAGTTAACATGTTTCAATCTCATTTACATGAGTTATTATTATTACATGAGTTAACTGGTTATCATCCAGTATTTCATTGAAATCACTAACCGATCTAAATTACACGAACAATATAAATCAGCAAGCACTGGACAACCACTCTTTTCTTAGAATGGAGCTCCTCAGCAATGTACAACCACGACTCACAACTCAGATCCAAACACGAGATCTTTGGTCTAGCCTACAAACGCTGAACTGGTTGAAGAATTGCGTATGTGCACATCTGAGGATGATGATTGGTGATGTATATTTTTATTCTGATGGGTACTTTTCAATTGGATGTAACTACTTGCAGTCAAGTGTTTACTTGACGAATTGTGGTTTGAACTTGGTATCTATCACTTCAAAGACTAACGAGTTTTTTGCTAAAAGCTACAAATTGTTCAATGGAAATTTTTTAAGGATTTGTATTTTACACTAATCAATAATCAAAACTATATTGATCACTCACTTTTCGATATATAGGCCTCGTCTCTAACGATTAGCTTAGCATAAACATTAGGTATAATTTACACTGTTTACTGTAACTCAAAAATATACTACATTTGTTACTACTACCATCAGTACTGAGTCATTCGTTTAGGCCAAATTCACTATTTGAAAATAGACTGACCGGACTTACACGTCAGAATAATAACAATAGGCAAATATAAATGCCACAGCATAAGTAATAATCTAAGCAGGTGTGCATAAAACCACAAATTTATAAATTAAAGAGTTATCTGAACATTGCGAAGTGTCACCAGTAGATGTTTTTATTTTAAACTCAATAAGCAGAAGAAACACCATCATTGATAATTCTTATTTAAAATAAGCTGTAGTAATGTAGTATTAAACAACAATAATGGAAGATTTAAAATTAAAATTATTCAGCTTAAATATTAGCCGTGATATTAGAAGGTTTAACGTAATAGGCAAAGAAAACGTGAATGCACTACTCAAAATAATTGCCCTGTTACAACACATTGTCAGTGACTACAAGATGAAAATATACAAAGTAAATGGTTAGGGATGGATAACAGTAGTTTACGGAATAAAATACAGAAGTTATATCATCTAAGCTTAAAATTTCTAGTTTGGGTAACCAGGGTAGTGTTGTTTTTTTACTAGTTTTTTTTATACTACTTGCTAGTAGTTTAAAGTTTCAAACAAAATTTGTTTGGATCGTCTGTCAGATTTCCAACACAACTTGTAAATGATTTAAGATAAAATTGAGTTGAGTCAAACAGATACACCAAATATTCACTCAAAATCATAACTGACTTTGTAACTTGAACCGATATACGTATGCGCTAGGTTCTTCGTTGAGCATAACTAACTGACTAGACAGTTATCCATTGCCCTAGATGTCCAATTAAAATCTCTTTGATGTTTACAAATAGCTTAAAAATGAAACTGATAAATTTCAATGAAAATCACACCACCTACCATTAAAGCACCGTGGACACCACTACCGCATAATTTGCTGGCATATTCAGGTAATTCAATACTTTCTAACCAATTCATTACACGTTGTTGAGTCCAGTAACAAATTTGTATTGGTAAATATGTAGAATAAATAGATTTTATTTCAGAATTCATGGATTCTGATTTTAAACTGTTAATACTATTGAGAGTTGAGTTATCCATATGATTTCTGTTATATCTATCAATAGGTTTCATATTATCTTGAGTATGATTCTGTGATTGAATGGGAGAATTTATCGTGCTTCCTTTCCTAGAAATATTTGCTTCACCTATGTTAAGCAAACAACATTAAAAATTATAGATTTCAATGACAATTGAACTTTAAACAAGAAGACTGTAAACACTTTCAGTTTGTTTTAATTTTAAAAAATACACACATGATCAATCCCACAGGGAGCATCGATATCCTCAAGACTGAAGGTATGTGTTCCGCTGTCAGTCATTTCATCGATAAAACCAGTCATAGATAACGCAGGAAATAGTAGGAAACTGTATTGATGCAAATTGCTACATGTTATAGCAATTGATGAGATAAAATTTAATGAGAGAATGAAGCAAGTATGATGGAGATGGTAATATCTATTGATGTAGTAGAAAGTTAATCAGGAGAAACACTGATCAACAAAGAATATGTCATAAAAGAGGATTAAACTATAAAATGACATTCAGTATTATCGTAACAGGTTTTAGGAGTTATTAATTTTAAGGTTCAAAAAAAGATACCATTACAATGTTAGACATATAATCAAGGGAATAGTAAAATGGTCATTTGACGAGGACTGACGAGACAGGAAGAAGTACTGGACCATTGAATATTATCTACCCATCTAGGAGAAGTGAACAACTAGAACCTAAACAAGGATTGAACATAAAGCTTTCAATATATTTAAAGAGAGCACATAACAGTTTTACCTTTAACGCAGCACTGTGTGAGATGGAGAGTATTTGTAGTTAAAGATGAGAATTTGGCAAGTGCTGTATTCTTTGAATTGGAAGGTTGAATCATAAACTTTTAGCTGCTTAGACAACATGATCAAATCCAATAACTTAAAAATTTTAAATTAAACTACTCATCCTATTTACCAGAAGCTGTCGAGTGGTTAAAAAAAACACTGAGTAGAGAGACAGAAAGTGTTCTCAAATATATTACAAATATTTTGTTGAAAAGTATCAATGCAAATCTGTAATATATTATGTTGCTAAAAAGTTTTTTTTATCTAACTTTTATCTTACTTACATTGTTCCATATGACTTCGACATAAACGAGTTCTATCAAAATTAATATGTCGTAACATTTGTATGCCCCAGCGTAGACTAAGTACATGTAATTCATTAGACATTTTCAATACCGATAAATCATCCTGAAATCATAACGAGAAAAATGTTATCTCATTGTCATACCTGTAATTTTTATCAAGGATCAAGAGATTAGTTAGGTGTATAATGTTGAGAGGCATAGGAGGTCTGGGCAACATAGGATTACGTAGCAGTGCGTACTCGTAAGCTCAAAAGGGATTAAGAGGTAGCTTAGAGGTTATGCTCTGGACACAATGATGCAGGCATTCAATGAAAAATCTAGTCAAAACTTCAGCCTACATTTCCTTCTTTGTGTCATAGTGATAATCATTACGGGGTTGTGAAGATTGTTAAGATTTTTTTGAAACCATGAATCGATCAATGCTGTTGAGTCCCATACAAGGACGATACGGTCGTCCCGTGATTCCAGGTTTCTAATGGTGGTCTAACATTGATCGATTCATGGTTTCAAAAAATAGTGATAATCGTATATACCTGCCGATGACGTATGTACAACTGAACTCAATTTGTCAATTACACCATTCTAGCCAATTCTTAATCTGTACATTAATATAGCTTGAAATGGACGTTTCCGAATGGTGCATCATAATAAGCACATGTAGACATAAGAAAAAAGTCAATTACATAAAGTATTTAAACGTACCATAGTGAGTTGGTCTAGCACATACGGGTCAATGATACAATTATCAAATTGTGGAATATAAGATGATAAACCCAAATCAACTAACCAACCTATGCAGTTAAAAAAAAAAGAAATAGGGGAAAAGAGTCGTTTTTATCCAATGAAATGCATATTAAGTAATTTCTGGGCTTTATGCACAAACCAATCAGAGCCCTTAGGAAGTTAGTGCAAAATTCATTCAGAAATATGGTTGGTTCCAGAACATTCACGAATTATAACTGATATCAATTTTCGGTGACTGATAATCATAATCATCAATTTTAATCTTTAGCCCTTTTTTGAAACCGATCAAATAGCTGAGATTTCTCAATGTCACTCTCAGAAGCTCTTCGGTTGTCGTACTTCTAAATTCACACTATTGATGATTAAGATTATATCGGTTATGTGTTAGTGATGACTTTCAATGACTCGAAATGTGTTCTTCAAAACAGTAGAACTAACTTCTAACAAGTCAGAACACAGATGACAAAAATAAGTAAATTTTCAGTTTTTTCAAAATAGATTCGAATTTAGAATTATGATTCCGGGTTGGTAATGAAAGGGACAATGCTTTTTAATCGTTGAGATAAATAATTCTACAATTGCTGATACGATTTAAACCATCAAGGTCCTTAAATTTACCTTTAGAACTCTAAAAACTATGATAATCGTCTTTCGGACCCTTTTTGTTTATCAGCTTTAAACGAGTTAACAATAAAATATTAGGTTACATCTTGCTTTTAGTAAAATATACTCTGTATGTTATTGGCTTTCGAAATTTTCACAAAAATTTCGACAATCTCTATTTTTAATTTGACTAGTTCATCACTAGATTTCTGTAAACGAAAGATGGTAATTTGTACTTGATTCAAAAGGCAAAAATTGATTTCGATTAAAAAGATACCAAGTTTTTTTTACTTATTTTGAACTAATTAGTGTATTTGGATGCAAAAAAAGGTAAAATATTGAAGAAAGATACTGCTGATTCAATAAGACTGATCTATCATCTGTCTGGTAGATAAAGGTTATTGTTATCGATTCTTTTATATTAGTTGTACATACAAGTCATTGTGTAACAACGTATGGCACATTATTCAAACCTTAAATGCTAGTCATGATGATATGATTGTTATTAAGTGATGAGAGCATCGGCAAATTTGAAAGCGATACATTTCGCTGTAACGCATCTATATCGATAGCCAGATGACAGTTTCATACATTACTTATGATTGCTAAAGTGTTTGAACCTACTGCATACATACTGAGCCATTTAAAATCAACATAAATTAAAATTTTAGGTGGTTAGATGTGTTCTGAAGCAAATTCTGAATCTAGGTTTCGGATATTTAACACATATCAGAAAAAAATAAGTTCAATCTTAGGTTAACTGGAGTTTACCCTATGAAATTCTAACCCACATCCCGCAGTTCCATAGACTGATGGGTTATATATGAGTTATTCAGCTCAGGACTAATAAACATGGCGTAATCCACTACTCAGCGTTCAATCATACCTCTCATTTACAGGTGGTTAGCTGAGGCTTAGATAATTCAATTGTAATGTCTGTCTGTAAATCTGGCTAGCGCTGTTTAAACTTCATGTGAAGTATCAGTTCCCTCAAGACCATGGGCATACTTTGCTGATGAGTCTCCGTGTTGAGAATATCTTCAATCACCTAATAGGAGAACTATTGAAACCATTAGGTTGAACTGAAATGGTTTATCAACATGAAATAATTTTCCAATCTTACAAAGTACACTACAGAAGATGATAAATAACTCAATTTTAAAATAAAATCAATCAATGTTACAAAACTAATCATAACGATTACCTGGTATATCGAAATTTTCCGGTGGTTCTATATTTCTACATAAATATCCATAATTGTAATGGTTATTATTGTTAGGACAATGATCTTTCATACATAAACGTATATGAATTAATAACTTTTTCAAATGTAACGGATTACGTATATCCATTAACTGAAAATCAATAAAAATAGGAAATAATGATTGGAAATAAAGAATCACAAAGAAAAAAAGATTAAAAACGTCAGAATATTAAAAAAACTAAAACAAACATTCTGAGAAATTATATCTTAAACAAAAATGTTATTTGTCTTTTTGATTACTGGATGGATGATAAGCTTTTGTTTTACAGAGTATTAACTACTGTTCTGTGTTATATCTTGACTAGTTGCCACTAGTCAAATATATATCTTCGCTATCTTGAGAGATTGAATTTTGTGGCATATTGATGCTTATATCATTTGAGTGAATTTTACAATTGTACATGACTTGTCTACTCTTAAACTGGATAGCAAATATGGAGTGATGGCAACTTTATAACATGACACTGGTCCGATGGTTAGGCGTTTGCCTACGATACCGAAGGTCCTGGGTTCGAATCCTGCGGGGTGCAGGAGTCGAGGATACTCACTGCTGAGGAGTCCCATACCAGGACGAAACGGCCGTCTTTCAGTGATTCCAGGTTTCTAATGATGGTCTAACATTGATCGCTTCATGGTTTCAAAAAAAGTTAGATGAATCGAAACAGTCATAGGAAATTTTATGCAGTTCAGTGGTTTAAGATGTTATCAATTAAACCACAGAATCAAATCCAGTTGCAATTCTGCCGCAATATTCTTTATTCAAGTAAGACGAATTCTTGTGACAGTAATAAACTCTTGTTAGTTGCATTTCTAACTGAACCATATCTCTTATCATATCATATGACTGTTCATACACTAAGTGTACTTCTCTTTTATTTGTTTATTCTTACAATATATAGATATATTATTTCATTTGTGAAGCATATGATTTTTTTAATAAAATAGTTTGTTACAGTTTATGTGTGTATCAGAGTAATATAAATAATGAATCTTTAACAGCCAGGAAAATCGTAATTCTTTGCATCCTAGTCTAGGTCACAGTCAACAATACAAGATAACATTCTTGTCTAACATACTTATTACTTAATAACCTTGAGTTAATGTGTATTCACATGTGTAAAGCACAGAAAAAACACAACGAAAAACCAACAAACAATCAAAATTAAGAAAATAAAGTGTATTGATTGCAGATCGCTCTATTTTACTAACACTTTTATATACTTATTGATTAAAATTTATTAGTCAGTCGTCAATCAGCTGAATGTTGGCATTCAGCTTACTTCATCAGAGATCAAACCAAGGACCTTTGGTCTCATGCGCGAGCACTGAAGTGAAATCAGTTCACAATATTTGCCAACCATATATAGTTATCTTCATTGATCACTCTTCGAAAACCTGAAGTTATGCGGTTTTTATACCTGATGACATTATGCTCAGCTTGTTAGGATATTCCTCCAATATTCTAATCGAATCACTTACAAGTCTAATCCTATTGGCCATTTCAAATTGATCGTCCTAACTATCAATGTCACGTACTTCAATGTTGTTTCCTATTCGACCTAACTGTATAAATACGCATTATCTGTAACGTTTTATGACCAGGATGCGGTCCCCGGTCCCTAGTCCAGGATCCTGAATCTCTTCTGGACTCGGACCTCGTACTTTCTGGATGTTTGTAGAATACATGTGCTACTTCATATCAGGTCTTATTCTTCCACTCAGTGGAGGTTTGGGACAATCGGATTAGAGTAGCCTGTCGTGTCACCAGATCATTGATCCTCGCTCTCGTTTACTGACTAAGGTAAACTCGTAATAGTTCAAGCGTATCTAATTGACGTGTATGCAATGTATACATGGATGTAAATTAAAAGTTATTCTTACTTGTGCAAGTGATTTTTTCGATTCATTCACTAAATCTTGACCAGAAGTTAACCATCTTCGTGTATGTGAAACAGTATAACCTAAACCAATTTTGTATAACCATGCTGAAATCATATTTTTATCCCAAGAAAGGAAATTTCTAAAATAATAAAAAAGGGGCAAATTTGCGAATTCAACTGAATGATAAAGACTGAGGTAAATATTAATACTCAGTACATTTATTTGATCATTGCATACTGATGCATAAATCATAAAAAAGGGAGTTCGACTTTGAATCATAAATATGCTTGTTAAACATGAAAATTTATTCTCCTACATCATTTATCTCCAAAAAAAATCACACTGATACATTGATATGATTGACGTTTATAATGCTTATTAGACATTAGTCAAAAGAATAAATCTACAATACTGGAAGGATCTACATAAGATCAATTATTCACATCACAAAGCAGTTCAATGAGGACAATCTCTAATTGTAATCAACAATCACAAGGAATCAAATCTGCATGAATATTAGTAAACAAAATAATATTTATTAGTATGATCAAGTAGAAAAATATCCAGTTATCAAGAATTCTAAAATCAACCACACCCCGCAGGATTCGAATCCAGGAAC